GCTGTGTACTATAAAGCTTCTTATGCTATAAAGTGAAAAACTGTCTTTACCTTTCTCTAGCCAAGTTCCTCAACGGAGTGTTAAGTCATTCGTACCTTCTCCACCGGTTTATGAAAATTCCTGCATCGTGTCTTAGGGTTGATTTCAGGACTACCTAAAGATTTATCTACAAATCACTGCCTGGTACTGCATCATCTTGATCATTACACCTTTGAAATACATCTTGGTAAGGCAAATTCCGTCACATTACTCTCGTTTTTCAAAATTATCATTGCTCTTCTTAGCTTTCTGCCTTTCGGATATACTTTCAAATCAGTTTTTCAAGTTCCAAAAAAGAAATCCCACTGGAGTTGTAATCAGAATCCTATTACACTGAAGTATAATTTTTGGAAGAAAACACATCTTTATGATCTTTTCATCCAGACAAGACACAGTATTTCTTTCCAAATACACAAGCCCTCTGATATTCTTTTGGAACATTTCTTAGTTCCCTCCATATAAGAGAACTATTTTTTCTAGGGCGTTTCTTGACTATTTTGTATTTCGCTTATTACTTACTATTACTGCCTTCATTTCTGCCATTCTTTCTCTATAAGTTATTGCTAAGAAATCAGCGAGCTATTGACTTTTTAACGCAAACATATCTAGTCTTTTTCTTGAGCTGTTATTAATTCAAAGAGCTCCTATCCGATTCTCTCGGATCTCCAGGTCCTACAGTTGTATCATTTGACATGACTTCAGTTACCTGCACACAGGTCACAGTTGTACCCTGACCAGAGGTTCCCCTCCCGCCTGTGGATGTGAGACTGTGACACCTGCTCCCCATTGCCTGGATGCGGAAGGGGTCCTAGGGGTGGGTCTTGCTACCCCCTCACCAGCGGGCCTCTCTTATCCAGACACCACTCCAGGGAAGGGGTAGGACGGGGCAGTGGGGAGAAGATGCCTTACACACCCATTCATCTTGTGCTTACACAGGAATGAATTTAGTCTCTCTTTTTGTAAGTTAACGTCTTCGTTTCTGTGTGCTGTGCATCCTATCGCGGGGCCTGGAAGGTAAGGGAGATCGATGCTCAGAGTGAGCATTTGCCACCGAGAGAACTGGGAGTCCCAGAGAAATCTTCCCTCGAAGGTGGTTTCATCAAGCAACTGGTGTTCGAAGCATATGGGTCTGCGGACACAGCGAAGAAGTGGCTCTCACTGGAGCAGCCTCGTACGGAGGTTCCTGGTGAGGCTTCAAGCTACTGGGGATGGGCCGAATGGGGGAACCCCAAAACCCCAAACTCCAGCAGGACACACCGCCACGGAGCCAAGGGGATGTGCCCTGGAGCCGGCTTCATGGGAGGGCGGAGCTGGGGCTTTTCTAGCCCACTTCCGAGATGAGAACGAGGGTTCCATTTCTCACCCCAGACTGCAGTCTGCTCGTATCCCATTTGCACGGATGGTTTTCCTTGGTTCGGGGTAGTGTGCAGGTTCCTTTAAGGAAACCAAAGGCAGGTCGGGCAAACAGGGAGGATCCAAAAGCCACTGACCCGTCCAGGCCAGCGGCGATGTGAGTGCTGAGCGACAGACCCAGAAGCCCTGAGCATGTGCCCTGCTGTGCCTTCAACCGTCACGAAGCATTGTCCAGAAACCCTCTGAGCTCTAGCTCCCCATGTCACTGGCCAAAAACTTCAAAGTCCTGTAAAAAGGCATCAGAATTCCTGAGAACTGGGGTCAGGGTCTCAGAGAACCATCTAAAGCCGGTTCTTGAGACAAGTGCCCAGGCTCCAGACGCCCCTGGCTCCTAATCTTGTGTCCAAATGTGTCTCTCCTAGGATCTCGGGTCTACTCACTTTAAAGGTGTGGATGAGTCACAAAGGGCAGTCGGGAGCTCCACCAAACGGTCCCCACTGACCACCAACAAGCTGAGCTTCTTCAGGTTAAGCAACTCGTAAGGAAGATAGGTCAGCTTGTTCTTGTACAAGAGAAAGGTCTGCAGTTCCTCCAGCCTAAGGAGACAGAAAGGGGCTTAGAACACAAGGACGCAGCTTCGCAGCTCAGAAAACCAGAGTGAATTACGAATAAGTTCTCGCAGGAAATTCCTACTTTGTTTTTTATACATGACCCTTGTGAGAATCGGCAAATTTTAAAATTTAAAGATTTAAATAAATCTAAATAAAATTTAAATACATAAACCGTGCCATGCCAGGAGACACGATTTGGTTCTTTTTTTAAAAGTTTTAATTGATTTCATTGCCAACCGAAGACAAAGATATAGCAGCAGCATAAAAACAAATTGCGTAATATACACTAGGCTGCGATGGCCTAACATAGCAATATATTCCTCCAGGGTCTGCCTCACTCCCAGGGGGATAGGGCCTGGGAAAGAAATCATACTAGAGTTGGAGTGAAAATAAACAAATTTCGGCAGCATATTTCCTTTCGTATGTCTTGAAAGCACAGTTAGTCCTCTCTCATTAATTTTTTTTTCTCATCCTATTTTCTAACTTTAAAATTAGAGGAAACCTGCAGATTGAAAACAAGTAAACTATGTTCCAGATATGTTCTGTTCTGTTTTCCATTTGATTCTAACTCGATGATCCCTCGCTGCAGTTTTTTCATTCATTCATTTGCAAAATCTCACTGACCCCACACACGTTTCGCAAAATTCTCTTTGTGTTTCAAGCTAAACAATTCCCATTTAGTCTCACAAACCTAGAAAGCACCGATACGCGTCATGTGTACCAGGAGAAGAAAAAGGTCATCGAGATGGCCTTCAGGGATGGGGACTAAGCCATTTTTGCTGTCTGTGTCATGACATCTTACTTATGCTGCTCCGTAAAGAAGACTGTGGATTCGTAGAAGCCAGAGATTTTGTTTCATTCACTTCAAACCCAGCCCAGTCTCCAGACCTGCCTAATAATATTGGTGGAATGAATGAATGAATGAATGAATGAATCTTACATGATTCAGTGTAATAGCTATTTTTAAACAAGAAATAGCTATAAAGATATCATTTGAAAATCTTTCTAAGTATATCAATTTTTTTTGAAAGATTATGTATAAGAAATCAATTAAACTAATTAAAATTATCCTCGGTGACATTTTAAACATGGAGTGATAGGTTTCTATTCCGCATATAATAATATTTTTACCTTCTCTTTCTATGGAGAAAAGGCAAGTTAATGATGCCATTCTACTGGGAACCGAAGAAAATGAAGATGTGTTCAAATGCTCATATATATCCACATATATGTATGATGTGGACTGGAAATTGTCTCATTATTTAAAGACCCAAACACATTTCCTAGAAACAATGAACTCCGGCAAATTCATTGACTTCAAAGAACATTCATGTGTTCTGCATGCTTAAAGTGGTACCCGTGTTTAAGACGTTGGTAACTAATTCATACACCTCACCTTCAGAATGCAAGTAGCTACCTGTCTATATCTTGTGGCAGGTCATTCAGGTTATTGTTGCTGATATCCAACCACTGCAAATTAGACATCCTGAGGACACAGATCGGGACACTGGAAAACTTGTTCGCTGAGATATCTACGAATGTGACTTGCTTCAAATTACTTAACTAGAAAGGAACAACAAAATATTCTAATCACTTTTGTAAGAGTAGGAATGAAGCTCGTCTAATAATTTTTAGACTGACGTTTCTTCCCAAAGACATTTCTATGAATATTTGCAAAACAGATCAAGACGGAATGTATTTTGGACCACTGTGCGACATGTCGGGGGTGCTGAGATAAACAGCCCGTGGTGCTTGCCCTTGAGGAGCCGATGCTTTTACAGAAAAGCGATGCAATTTTACACAGTAGATGGGCAAGACGGAATTCTTAGCGGTGATGGAAATATCCTAAAACTGAATGGGTGCAATGTGTATTTATAACAGGTGAATTTTACGGTATATAAATTATATCTCAATAAAGGCAGGGGTGGGGGTGTACAAGAAGGTACAGAGAGACCAGCCTAGGCTGTCGTCCCAGTCCAGATGACAGACAACACGGGCCTGGACTAGGCTGTTGGTGGAAAGGTGTGGGGCAGTGGTCAGATACTGAACAGCCTCTGGAGGCTGCTCGGCAGGGCTGACTTACAGAGTGGACATGCGGGCGAGCAAGAGCAGTCACAGATGACCTGGCTTACTTCCAGTCTGAACGTGTGAAAGAAGATAGAGTCACTTTCTAACTGGGGAAGACTGGGGACTGACACTTGTTTAGGGAATCCTGACTGGCTGTGCCTCTCACTGGGAACACCATCTGGCATTTCTTGGGGCGAGATGGATGCTGAGAATAGAAGCAACCACTTCCT